CGGACCCTCGCCACCCTTCAGGCCTTCCGGACAGCCATTAAGACCTGGCTGTCCCAGCAATCCTGGGGGTGAGTCCCCCCCCTACTTGAACTGTTGTGCTTGTTGTGTTTTTTAAATTGTTGTATCACTGTCTTGTTTGTCTTACTTTTTTGTATTTGTTCCCCTTACCTTGGTTTTTTGTTCAGCCGCCCTGAGTCCCTTTGGGGAATAGGGCGGCCTACAAATTGAATAAATACCAAATACCAATACCAAATACTGTCTAAATACCTGCAGAGGCACGAATTCAACCTCCGCAACCAGAAGGAAGGTGAAACAATCAATCAATATGTTGCCACACTTCAAAACGCTGCGGCCTACTGCAAGTTCAGAGACTTAGATGAACTCTTGCTAGACCGAATTATATGTGGTGTTTGGGACATTAGTTTACAGAGGAGGTTCCTCGCCAAGACCAACCTCACTCTACACAACGCCCTGGACAAAGCCAGGGCTACTGAGTCCTTGACAAAGTTGACGGAAACCCTACAGAGACAGGGCAGCCCAAAGATCTAATTTTGCGAGCCTAAGAGTACATGTCTGATCATAAGCAGATATTCACTGTAGCACTATAGCACTTCTCATCATGTTCGGACTATCTCTCAACCTGACTGATTACAGGTATGACTGATGCTATCCATCCATTAACAGATTGAAATAAAGCCATGATCGTTATAGAGGGCCTGAAGTTGCAAGCGCTCTGCCCCCATTCTCCAGAAAAATTTGATATGAATGTTGGACTTGTAGGACTAGAAAGCAGATCATATAATGTTCTTATACTAACCTTTGGATTTTTTTGGCTTTAACAAGAACAACAATAACAAATAAAGCTGCTAACCAGAAATATGCAGTGGGTTATTAAACTATAAATAACACGAAACAGATCTATTTTTCTTATAATACAATTAGGAGAATTTACAATAATATGTTCCTTCATTCTTCAAATTCAAAAAATCAAATATTGCCATTGGTAAACTTGTAAGATCTGCTCAATTCTCTATAAACTAAAAAAATGATTTATCTACTAAATGATTTCCAATACATCAATTTTTTAATATTAAAATATTACAAAGTCTTTTTACATTCTTTCCTATAGTTAACTCATTCTTATTAAATGAAAAATCACAATAACTGGTCAGAAAGTACTGTGCCACGAATGTCCAATTCAGCAAATTATTCAGCCTAGCATTTTGTCATCTTTGATTTATCTCTAAGCTTTAGCTGTCCTTTATAACAAGAATGGGCATGTCTTAGGTGTTAAACTTTCTTAGCCTCCTGACCTTTAAAGGGGCTGCAGAAGAGTGTTAGGTGGTATCACTTGAAAGGTATTTTGGGGGAGATGGTTTAGAGTTGGATTAGGAAAAGCTTTGGTTTCCTAAATTGCTTAGGAAAGTTTAGCCAAGCAACTTCTGATAAATTGCTCTAAGTCATGCACTGAATTTCAGGGAATGTTGGGGTATTGGGGGTGTACAAATTGTTATTCTTTAGTGCTGAACATGATTGATCCATGTGCCGTACCAATCCCTAGTCCATTCCTAACAAAAAAGAAATATAAAGAAACATAGTACTTCTTTTATTTATTACAGCTTGTTTGCTGATCAATTCCAAATGGTTCTGAGCTACTTACATCAAGTAACAAAAACATTAAAATAGAATAACCATAATGAAAACCACACTATCCCATAATAGTACCACCCAGAAAGTGCATGTCAATCCTCACTGTTCCCAAAGGCTTTCTGGGACAGCCATGCCTTTGAAGCTGGAAGTCCCCAAAAGAGGGGTACCCAGAGGCAGGCTCCTATGATTTTTAGATTCTAGATTTTAAAATCCTAAATAAGTAAACAGAAATAAGTATATCACACTTACTATCAGCTTCCAGATTCAGCCTTTGATATCACCAAGAATTATGGTAATTTTGAACAGTCACTAAATGAACTGTTGTAAAACTACCTGTATGATGTAAGGTGTTTTTTTTTTAAAAAAAATTAAGGTTTCCAATGTACGAGATCTCTCTTCCAGCATCTTAGCAGCAACACATTTGGTTACATTTGCCAGATTAAGTTTTAAAATGTTTTGGAACTATATCATTTCACAGCCATATTGAAGATCACCAATAAAAATAAATTACCAAAAGACAAAAAACATTTGCTTATAGATATTTCACTATCTTATCTGTTTATTCCAAAGACATTTATTTGCTGTACTTAAGAAATTAGAGCAATTTAGTTCTGATAATTTTGAAAGCCACAATCAAACTTGGAAATGAAATGTTAAGAAATATGGTAAGACTTACAAAGTGAAGATTTTGTTCCACTCGGGATTAAGGTTCTTGTATATTGTGTGGGTCAACAATCTATCATTGTTCAATTCAATTACACAAAATGGATCACTTTTACCTGTAAAAAAATAATTTCAGAGACATTCATGAATTTGTAAAATTATCTTGGTATTCTATGTAATTAGCACTTAATATTCTAAAAACAAAATAACCTTAAGGTTATTAGTAATGTTGTGTGGTAAACTATAAAATATTGCGGCGTGATATTCTGGAATAAAGGCAAAAATGGTGGGGTGTGAACATTAGCTTGTGATTAAACATGCCTTTGCATAGAACTGCATGAGAGATACAGTCAGATAATACTGCAAAAATTGCTGCAGACAGCAATTTTCACATGTTAGTACTATTTTGCCTTCCAATTTTAAAGACGACACAACCCTGATATTTAGTTCATTTTATTATATATGCACATGTTAAATATATTCTGAGGGCTAAAACTTAGAAGGCTACAAACTAATAGATTTACAAGCAAGAATTGACATAATGGCCCTTCCACATATTACATAGTTCAGATTTAAACATTTAGGTTTAATTTTAATTTAAGGATATATACTAGGAAAAACAGATAACAATTGTCCATTTAATTTTTAAAATTTCTTAAAGATTATTCTATGTCATAAACATCTAACATTTGCATACATTTGTAGTGCTATTTAAATTAAAACATATTGTCAAATTTAATATTTCAGTGAAATTGTACTGAACTTTCAGGACATATTGCAAGAAAGTGTGTGGTGACAAAATTTCACCACTTTGATACATTACAGTTATGTGATAAGTCAATGGGTTTGACTCAAGATTATTCATAATAATCAGTATAATCTTTCAAATAATCTCTGTCCTGATAAGGCTATTTTATTACATGAAAATTAACTGCAACAAAAGCAGGAGTAACAAATGTTTCCCGCTAAACTCAGTTATTAGACTGATATCGCCAAGATAGATAGATCCGAGTGCAAAGTATAGCACACTGGGCAACTCTTTTTCCTAGAAATATTCTGTAATGAAATATCACAAATTTAGGGTCTCAAAGAAACCCCATTAAATGGTAATTTGTAATTTGTTTCATACTTTAGACAATCATTATGTAGATAAAGCTGTTAATAAATTAATAATTTTCCATATTGCAGCACTGATTTAGATTCTACCACAGGTTAATGTACATAATATTAAATTTAATGACATGGTATAATTGCTTTAAGTATGTTGAATTTCATAACATATATTTGGGGGGGGGGTGTTCCTTCTGGACTGGTATCTGAAGTTTTCTTGGCAAGATTTCATAAGTGATTTGCCATTGTATGTTTCCTAGGGCTGAAAGACAATGACTGGCCCAAAGTCACTCAGTTAACTTTGGCTTAAGGCAGGATTAGAACCTACAGTCTCCTGGCTTCTAGCCTGTCACCTAGCATTTATACCAAACTGGTTTTCAAAACATAATTTTGTTACATAATTTTGTATGAAGCATAAATCAATAAATGATGAAATAGTCTTTCTCCATTTACACGTCAGATAAATCTGTGTGTTGGTTTAAATAAACAAGACATACTTTTCTTTTGCCTTTATCATAGATTTCCATTTTTAACTGTACACTGTACTTTGAATTAATTCAGATATAAATGATTCTACAGGATTTATCTTTAAAGCACTCTGGATCTTGACTTATATTGAGAATTTACCTCTAGTACTAACACCTTTTGGATAAAAATTACTTTTTTTAATAAAAGCAAGAATGTTTCAAACAAATGTTCAACACATCACAAATATATATTTCCAATTATTAATATACAATTAAAACAAAATCTATACTTTATTTTTAACTTCATTTTTAAAAGAAAGTAACATTAAATTTTTGAGGTGACACTGGATTTGCATGTTTAATAATATTGCATTTAATTTGAACTGAAAATTATTTGGACGATCTATGAATAGAAAAGCAAAGTAAAAACTTAAATGCAAAAGCCACATTCTGCCACTGAACTGTCTAAAGTTTCTGTTTTTCATGGTATTCCCATATTGTTACATCATATGGTTCCTCTTCCCATCATCCTATTGCAAAATTGGTTATTAAATTTCCAGACTCTTGAATTCTTCTTAAGCAACAAGATGCAATTTACCCAATTTGCTCCTTTTTCAAAGTCAGATAACATCAACTAGAATTACTGCAAGTGCTGTTATTTCCACAAGAAAAAGTCAACTATCATCATTTTCCATCTCTTTCAAAGAAAAGCCATTAGATATCACTAATAAATTTCTACTGGATATTCCTTATACAGATATCCAAATTTTTAGTTTCTTAATCTAAACAACTGTTATTTTGCATAAGCAACTTTTGGAAACTAATACTGTATGATCAGACCCTAAGATAACATGCAAATACATATAATTTAAATAGATGAATAAATTCAGTAAGATTTTTTTTTAAATCACTTGGCTGTAGGTATGCTAAAGGGAAAACACTAGTTTCTTTGTTAGTTTTGTCACAGTGGCCTTACATTAGCAACCCTCAAAATCCAAAATATAAGCAAATCAATTCAGCCTCCAAATATTACTACTACCATGATATAATTGAGAGATGTATGACAGATGTTTCAATAAAAAGGCATAAGTACAACACAAAGAATACCTGTTTTCCTAGTCATTTTCATGAGAATAATTCCACACCCTCATCTATGTTTTGGAAACAAGAGGGGAAGTCATAATCCCAACAAACCAATCCATACAACACGATTAATTGGATGAAAGTAAGTTGCTTCAAACAAACTTGCGTTAGTTTTGCAGCTTATTTGATAAGGCTATAGTTTGAAACAACACCTTCCCTACTCCCTCTATGATTAAGCATGCTGTACAAATAGGGTTTTCATAAATGGTAAGATCTGGCCCACTGTTCATATTCCTTTCATAGGGATCTCAGCCCAAGCCTTTCCCTTCATATATTTGAACAGATTTTGAAAATGTATTTTGTTGGTACTGATTTTTATGAATGGTTTTCTGGCAAATGCGTCTGCTATTTTTCCTGCTTGGTGGTGCATTAGCAATAGCACTTAGACTTATATACCGCTTCACAGTGCTTTCCAGCCCTCTCTAAGCAGTTTACAGAGTCAGCATATTGCCCCCAACAATCTGGGTCCTCATTTTACCCACCTCGGAAGGATGGAAGGCTGAGNCTCACGTGTCCAGATAAACTTTTATTATAAATCACAGTGCTTTAAATGCTTATTCCCACCCCCACCCCCCAAAAACCACTACAAAACGTTGCAATTCTAAATCTTTACCTGTTTAGATAGTCTGTTTTCTTCTTCAATATATTTCTGTTCTTTGGGCATTAGTGTTTGGATGCTGGCTTTCACCTAAACATCAGAATGTCACGATATTTAGGCACTGAAACATGTCTCATTTAGAACCATTATCACAGCATTTCAAAATCGCAATGCCAGGATTATAAGCTAGAAATATGAAGCACAGCTCATGCTTGTGTATATATTACAGCAGTAGCAGTGGAGTGATAAAGTGTGACTGTCTCAGGCAGTGGCAGAAGAGTATTCTGCAGCATATATCAAAGTTTAGAGAAAATGAGGAATGACAGAAATTCTCTACAAATCAGGAACAAAAGCTTTCATGAAACCGAACTCTTTAGCAGTACAAAAAAGCCAAAGTTAAGACTTACAGCATTAAAAATCACATCCATTTCAAGATAGATGACCCCCTTTGTTGGCCCTGTCAGCTGCTTGTTTTTCAAAACGTAGGCTTTCTGTTCACCATTTTGAATCTGCAGGAAAAGGACATGACAGCCGTCTGTCTCACAGTCTCTACTGAATACACTCCCTCCATGACCTTTGACCCCCAGCTGCTGAAACTGACAGAGAACCCAAAACAACTGTGGCAATTCTGACAAGTACCTGTTCATTACCAGGACCAAGTCTGTCAGGAAAAATTAACTATCATGGGATTCAACATGGCCGTGAATTGAGTATGTTAAATTTTTTTTCAGTATTCCTATTACAGACCTGGGTTGAGAAATGACAGCCTGTACTGATTGTTTCCATGAGCATAAAGAAATTTAGAGCAGATGACGATGGCAATGATGATGATAATAACAATAATAATATCAACTTACATACAATAATGGAATAACCACTTTGCCTAGGAAGTCCGCACTCCGATCACGATCTTCATCGTAAACTGTCACTTCAAGAACTGAGTGGATATCTTTAATATTGCTATAAAGGGTGAAGCAGAAAGACGTGCAAAGTCATTGAACTGGTTGCTAACAAAAACACATCACTAAGTCCCAGAAAAATCAAATAGTACATGTATTTTTGAAAGTATAAATATGAAAAAGAGGGCTAAAAGAAGACTAATTTAAATAGGAATAAAACTCAGTCATAATACTGAACATTTGGCAATTACATACTTCCTTGCCCTTATTGTGTCTGTGGAATGTCTGCCAGCTGCACTATTTAGAGTGTCCCAGACCCCATTAGACAAAGATAGGCCGGAAGAACCAATTAGCGTAAGTTGTGATCGTCTGGCTAAGCATTTCATGGATAAAATCACTTGCATTTGCTCTGAGTTGGAAGCCAGATAGATGGAATCTTTTGAAGTTATAGAGGTATCAACTTGTGGTGTTACCTAGTACGTTTCTGATCTGTGTAAGTTCAAGTTAGTAGAGAAAGTTCTCTACAATATTACACATCTGGCTGCCCAAAGCATCTAGCAAGGGAACTGGAAGTTGGACTCTGCGGGTCATCAATTCTTCTTTGAGAGAAGGGACTATTGAGCACTTTGAAAGAAATCCTAGCCTGCCCACGCCTTGAATAATGGCTGTAGAACCAGCAATAGGAACATCTTTTCCTCTAATTTCAACCTCTCCTTTTTGTAAAGGAAGTTAATAATGGAATTAAAATTTCAAAGAGCACACACACAAAATTATTAAGCTATATATTAAGGGCATAATCATTTTAATATATTTTAATATATTATTATGTTTATGTAATATATTGTATGTTACATAATACACATATATTAATAAATACATCTGTCTGTCCATAACTAATATTTTATTTAAAATGTCAATGTGGATTATAATATAATTAAGATCTAAAGTATGTAAAATAATGCTCAACCTAAAACTGGTGAAAAGGAGAACAAACCACAAATTAGTGGTGAAGGCTTGCATGAAAAGGAAAATAAAAGATGTAATGGCAGACACTTCACAAATGTTAAAGTAGAACATTTCAGAGTGCAGGCATATTACAGAAAATATGTAAAATGTCACTCCTGCTTCACACATAATGATCTACCTTAACAATCTTAACAATCTGAAGTTTGAACTGGTTCCATGTTCTACATGAGTAAAACTTGGGTTTATTAGCTAATAGGCAGCTGATTCAATTGCTTTCACAACATGTAACATGAACATGGCCAAGTGTCTTGCTTAGCAACTTGTTCCAAGCATCTTCCACCAAATGAGATTTTTGGAATAAATGCAAGGGCAGCCCCACACTGACTGCATCATGTAATCCAAATGTAAGGGTTACTATATGTGAACAATAGTAGCTAGCTTCATTACCTAGGTGGCTAAGCTTTGTGAGACAGATGATAATCAGCCAAAGCTATTTTACTTTATTGAAAAGTTACATGAACAGTGTTACATACTGACAATCAGTATAGTAGTTTCCACCAAGGTCCTCTATTCCAAAGGGAACAGTATTCAAATCTGATTGGTCGAAGGGTCTGATAGCNGGCAGCAGGCGGTCTCTCAAGTAGCACCATTTCTGTGGAAATCTTTCACAAAAAAATGTATTGATGTATATGGTTATAGAAAGAATGCATAAAATTAAGGAAGCTCAAAGGGGAAAAACAGATTACCATAAGCTGATTTACCCAAAGATTTCCAGAAATGAGGCTGTCCTTTCATCCTTCTAGAGATTTTTTTTAATCTAATGACAAATAGTGACCTAAGCTCTAAATTTAGGGATCATCTGTGAAATAGATTCAATGAAGACACAATGTGGAGATCCACATGCAAACCATGTTTTTATCAAAGCATGAAAAGTTGTATGAACAGTAAAATTTTAAACTGAGTCCAGAGATACTTAACGAGCAAAGCATCTGGAAAAGCATTATTTTAATACAATCATATGATTTGGTCCCTGACAGCAATACTTTTTTCCCCCAAAAGTTTCATGTTAATATAAAGCAGCACCATATAAAACATTCTGCAGAATCTACACAATGGATCGAAAAATAGATTATTGAAAAAGCATTTGATGATATTTGAAGAGAGTAGATCAAGATCAGGAATCATTGAAATACTAAAGCAAACAGATAAGGGGATAATGCTCTTAAGAACTTTGGTAGTGAAGACAAACATCTCATGTTACTGGATAATGTTGGAATTTATTGAGTTTACATTGCCAGAGTAATAAAAGATTTCCCCCACTACCCACTAGTTGTGGATAGGGATAAAGTGAAAAATGACCAAGGTTAAGCAATAGAACAAGAGAACAAGAGAAGAGACAGTGTAAGATTATCAGGATATCAGTGAGTTTTCATCTGGATAAAAGGATTCATTTTTTCAATATTAAAATGGAAGGAGCAACAGAATATTTACAGATTGAATATAAAAAGCAAAGAAGAAAGCTCTGCACTTGCTATACAAAGCAGATGGGAAGTGCACAAGAGAAAAAGCCTTTAAAGGAAAGAGCAGTTGGTTTTGAACATGTTGAGCTTCAAAGAAAAAAAAAGTCCACATGAGAATATCATGTAAGCTGTTTTGAAGCAGAGAGTAGAATTGAATGTCATCAGAAGAGATGAGTAAATCAATCAAGTTTTGCATGTGCTCATAAATTCATGTGCTCATACCTATTTGAATGTGCTCATAATTAAATAATTGTACATATTTTCTAAAAATGCATGTTTGCATTCAATTACTTCATTTATTCATATGTTGTGCACATGAGTAATTCTTTTTGAGTAAAGAATTGCATTAAAAATTCTGTTGGATCCCAAATTACAAATGTTTATTTTTTTGTACACATTTGGTTGCTGCTTACTCATATAATATAGAAACTGCTGCTGATTTCATGCCAGAAACACCAAGGTGCTTCCAGATTGAAATGATTAGTCGATGCCATCACCATTGCCTAAGTGATGCCTGGTTGGCAGCTCCTTTCATGCCCCCATTAATGTGCCCATCAAAGTGGTAGCTATTTATCTACTTGCGTTTGCATGTTTTCGAGCTGCTAAGTCAAAAGAAGCTGAAGCAAATGACAGGAACTTGCCCTGCAATACAGCAGCACTCAGGTCTCGAACAAGGGCTTGCTAACCCTCAGCCCAGCATTCTACTCAGGTGAGCCACCATGTTCCCAAATATAGAAGCTTAGAATGTATAAAACTAAGAACATAGCTAAAACATCTATACAAGCAACTTGCAATAAAGAGAGATCAGCCCCATCAATCATTCCAAAGTGATCCTTAAGGCCATTCTATCAATCACAACATCTTATTATATTAATATTGGATAGATGGTGACCTTTTGGGCTTTGACTGGATGGCAGAGAAAGTGAGAAGATATAAAGCTGTTCTCATTCAAACTGAATTCAAAGGATTATTAGGAGTTTGGGAATGCTGCAGAAGTGACCTAAGAAAGCAGATGAGAAGTGTGGAGACAAAAACCCAATCAAGCCATCACAAACCTCTGAAAAATCTTCCCAGATCCAATGAGTTGCAAGAAAGCCTTGAGATTTTGTATACAACAACAGACTCTCAGCAATTTGCTAGTAGAGAATAGGAGGGAGGAGACTATACTATTTCTCCTTTACTCCCAATGCATATGACCATAATATTATCTATCTAGGAAGTTATGGCAATCAGGACTTGCATGACGTAGAGATGAAGCATGCATACAATTTTGCTTTAAGTGTACCCAGAATGTTTTATTTGGATCTATACTGAAAATTCCTGGGGATAGTGATTAAGAAAATAAAATGGGATGAAAGGGCTGGTAGCATCAGAGAAACAAAACTGTTTTAAAAATATGTGTCCCTAAAGGAGCTTTTTAAAAATTGTGATTAAAAAAAATCCCCTCCAATTCAGTTTGATTTATTCAAATCATGCTCTAGAGCCAGCAACAAGATGAAATGGATGACTTCTGGGTTGGTCCAGCACAGGACAGACCATTTCAAGGTTACAGAAGTTGTTGTTAAAAGTGGACTGTATGCCTCTACATAGAATACCCCAAAGATCTCCCTAAGATACAGGTATGGCCAAGTTTCAAACCAAGAAATTATAACAAATTATGTTATTCCACTGAAGATTCAGAATCATCTAGAAAAGGGGTATCAAATTCGATTTCATTGAGGGTCACATGAGGATTGTATTTGACCTTGGTGGGCCAAGGTGGGCATGGCCAGCTTGATGTCACTCATGTTGGGGGTACCTGTGATGGCCCAAGTGCTCTGCCAGAGAAAATGGGCTCCCGAACTCCATTTTTGGCTGCGATGGTCTTCTGCAACCCTCTGCCAGTGAAAATGGAGCTCGGGAGGGTTGTGTGCGACCCTCACAGGCTCCATTTTTCGCTGGCAGAGGCACTGCAGGCCGGTCCTTTGATGTTTCCAGGGTGGCTCTGTGGCCAGATCTAAGTACCCCACGGGCTGGATAGGGGCCGCAGGCCTTGAGTTTGACACCCCTGATTTAGAAGAAGACCAAGAGTAGGTTTCTCTTAAAAACTCAACAGAAGAGGTAGCTGAAATCAATTACTCAATTATGACTTATTTTTAATTACCTTCATTCCAAATTCCAGACAGCCAGATTACATAAATAATCATATCTGCACTGGATTCAAATAAAGGTTTTGCATTTTGTTGCAGTAATAGGTGTATTTTTCATGGAACTATCTGAATGTCTTCAAGGACATCAAGTTGGCTTACTTACTTTGCTGACAACCTGCCTACAAGCTTTTACAGGCTACATCCAGCACTTTACATGAAACCTTCTACTCCTCTGACTTGGGTAGACATGATGCTATCTATTAACTAAAGTTAGGGTATGAATGGAGATTGCCAGAGATACATTATGCAGCTGCAACATTCAGGAGTGTAGCATGATGAAACATTAGCAAAAAACCACTATTTTCTAGAAATTTTGCTTGCATTGAGAATGGATATATCTTTCAAGCTGTATTTTTTTTTCCTAATGCCAATAACAGTTTTAATATTTTTTTAATCATATACAATTAAGACCATGGGTGAAAAACAAATACATGGTTTAATGCAAACTAAAATTCCCAAAGCAATCAGTGTTAAAATTCATTCAGGCCATATCTCATCTGCATCTTTCTGTGAGAAATCAGACACCTAAGATGGTTTAGATAAATGGCTCAATTAATTGTACAGAAGTAACCCTCTTTGAGCTGAACCAGAGCTGTGAGCTCTTTATTAAAAGCACTATTCTGTAGTCCATAACCTCGTTCCTTGACTCCTCTCTAGTTTCCAATTTAAACAAGTCCCTGTGCGGCATGTTCTAAAGGGCTTTGTCTCCCTGTCATTGTTAAGAGAGCTGAGGCATCCTGGAAGTGTGAAATCAGACCTCATGAGCTGAACGGTTCCCCAGGGAACACTGGACTGCGCAGAAGGTCAAAGTCATGGGCTGGACCATCTGAAAGCACCCTGATCACCCGTCTGTGACATAGCAAGCAGGGGAAGTGTGCGTGTGAGGAGACTATAATTGAACACATCTTAATTAAAACCCAGAGATAGCAAAAATAAACTGTTTCCTAGGCAGCCTGTCAAATTCAGGTTCCACTAATGAGTTCCAGTGTTTTAATTTCTTAACAAAAGTAAGACTCAGTTAGCAGTAGTAAAAACAAGGATTCGACATCATATTCCTGTTCTTGTTTTGCAATAATCTTTCATCAACAATATTAATTAAAACATATGAACACTAAATAATCAGCACACTATTATTAAACATACAATGAATAGAGAGCTAAAGAAACATTTCACATACAATAATCAGCCATTATTAAAATCTTTTATAAAAACATTTTCATATTTTATGTTTAATACTCTTATTTTTAAAACAATTTAAGATACTACTACTTAACATCTTAAGCTGTGGATTTGCCTGAATCAAATTTGTAGATATTTTCAATGAATTCAATTATTCTTTAGTGGTTCATTTAAAAGTTATAGATTTCCATGGAGATTTATCAATCACTCAAAAAGGAAAAAAAGAGGAGAAAAAGATTAGGTCCTTTTTGATAATTCTATGGCAAGTTGGATTTCATAATTTTCTAAGTTTTCTCAGGAGAGTATCCATTTTAATTGACTCAAAATGCTATTTTACTAAATAGAAAACAAACGTTCTTTCCCATTAATTTAATGAATTATATTCATTAATTTAAAAACTTGTTGGTTACTAAGATTATTTCTTTCCCTGGGAAGAGAATAAACATTATTATTAATAGAATCAAAGTTAAAGGTCCTATAGAATTTATTTTATAGCTTTTATTACATGTTGGTGCCCTGTCTGAAAATATATCTGAAAAATATTTAAGGGCTAGAACTTTATTTTGGGCATGTCAGTCATAAAAGCTGTGCTGTATTATTAGAGTAAAAGGAATCAGGAGGTTTTCATAAACTGCATCATTACTCCAGTCATTACTGTTATGTCAATACTGGAATGGAATTTGGAATTTGAATAACTTCCTTTGAAATGTTAATAGCAGCTACCAATTAATAGCATATAATAAGAGTAACAAAAAAAATCATCTATAAGAATGTCTTACAGCAATATCAAACAGGGTTAATTCAGAATAAGATTTGCTGATGATCAGTATGTCTTAGTGTAATTCATGTGGTCATAAAACTGTAGGCATATACATACAGATCTTTTTACTATTACATTACTATAACATTTGTTTAGCAACTGTTCAACTTATGACAGTGCCTTATGATACTTATAATTTATGATACTGCCAAATGAGTAGTAGTTACAACCAGCCCTCATACTCACAGCTAGCATGGTGTTGTCAAGCAGAAATCAGGTATGGCTTGGTGCAATCAAAGAGACAGAGACCAGGTGATCTCCCTTCACAAAAATGGACGTGCAGAGGGTTTGGGAGGCCTGCAAAGGCCTCCTGGGAGCTGGGGAGTTGGCCCCCAGCCCCCAGGAGCACTCTACAAGCCTCCTAAAGGCTATGCATGCCCCGTTTTTCACAAAAAGTGAGGTGTGCAGAGGGTTTGGGAGGTCTTCAGAGTGCAAAAACTTTTTTTAAAAAAATTACCTCTTCAAAATCTTGGTGCGTCTTATACTCCGAAAAATACGGTATATAACAGGAAGTGGGCATATAGTAGATAAGGTAGAGCAGTTACAAAAATACCTGTGCATGCCTCTTGTGATTTTATCACATGCTTACTCACAAGCTTTTGGTTTCTTATGAAACTTTACAAAATGCCCAGGGCCAACTAAGGCCTAAACATAAGAACCTTTTAACCAATCATCAGCGTTATCACAATCCTGATCAACATAAATTCTTTCATATTTTGACCAATGCACAGAAGTATGACCAGCAAAGACAGGATAAACAGAGACGGTATACGAGCCATACTTCTGATGTCTCATGGAACAGATGTTAAGGCAGGCAGACATGATAAGAGGAAGACAATGTATGCAACAATAGAAGAATATAAGGAAGATTACAAAAAGGATAACCCAAAAAATCTCCCAGAGCCAACCCCAACCAGGTACTCAACTAGTAAACCAAGAAGACAGTCCAGAGAAGAGGCAAATATCAGCATCTTTGGGTCTGTTCTGTATCTCCTTTTCCAGATAGGTAGTGTGATTTCAAATTATCAAGACAGCATAGAGAGATGTAATTGAAACAATGGAAGTGAATTAATGTACAAATACTTCCCTTGGTAGCAAGGACAACATCCAAGGCGTGGCAATTTTGAATCACTTGCTATGAAATATCCTTCACTTGAATGAGCCTCCATTGTAATGGGGTCCAGGCTGGCATTGCCTCACATAGGTTGTAAAGGACCAATGGATTAGGATCCTCACTGATCTTAAATGCCAAAAGCCTGACTGAACTTATCCACAAGTCCCATTAGGTGTGGTTGACTTTCCAGGTGATGGTGCACCATGCATATATACCAAGTTCATATTTGGAAGAAGAATTAAAAGGTTGGAGGCAAGCCACAGCTCTGTGTTGGATATGAGCTGTTAACTTTGCAATGATTTGTTTTTTATTATGGAGAACAGGCATCTTCCAACTATCAGTAACATTTATGATTTGGTATACCTGGGCTTCCAATAGGGCTGCTTCCATGACCAGCCCCTGAGTGCCAGTCGGGAGTATATGTGCACAGATCCACAACTGGTAACATTTAACAGTTTTGCTCAGGTCTGGATATTCAGAATGTGTGTGTTGGTACTCCAACCCCCAAAGATGGTGACCAAAGCCGTTTGTTGTCCTTCTATTTGTTTTGGGGTGGGGTGGTGCCTTCATGTTCCAATGTTTTTTGCATGGCCCAGTTGTATTGAGTGGTGTTCTGCTGGAAGGTCTTCCTTATAGACTGACTATGTGCCTCAAAGTTTTCCTCCCTCATTATACCTTCCTGAGGCCCCATTTGGTGGAAAAAGATAAGAGTGCTTATGGCAAATTACTGAGTGGCTGTTAGTAAACCAGTGACTCCTTTGATGTTTTGGCATGTGACTGAAGGGTGATGTTGTTTAAATGAAAGCTTCAGTCCAAGGTCATCCTCAGCACCACAGCCTACAGTCCAATGATAATTGGAGTCCTCAAAAGGATCAGTGGTCTTGGGAAGGGTGTGGTGAATCCCGGTGCAAATACCAGCAACTTTGACAACTATATGGGTCATGAGAAGGATGTGGAAGGGTCCTTTCCACTGTTCAGCCAGGGAACTGGAGTAAGTCCAAGATTTCATGACTAATGAATCACCAGGAAGGAAGGAGTGCAGCAGATGATCCAATCCCGGATGATGGAAGACCTGAACAGCTCGATAAATGGAGGAGACATTTTGAGAAAGAGAGCAGATAAAGTCCTGGAGAGCTTGGTCCCCAAAGGCAAGAGAGGACGTGGAGGCTTGATAAAGATTTAACTCATTTCATGTAATTATGTTGTACACACAGTAATTCATTGAAGGCTCTCAGAACAAAATATTTTGGCAGCCATGTGATTGCTTCATTTCACCTTTTCTCTCAAGTAAGAATTTGGGTTCTCAAAAGTCCAGATATAAATTTATTTGCAAAATGTTTTTTTAAAAGATGTAACAGAATTTTTCAATAAGCACGAATAGAACAGAAACCTAGCAACCTTCAGTATTTTATTTGCTATACTGTTGGTTTTGTAAACTATAACATAAAATTAGTCAGTGATTACTGATTAGCATAAAAATGGAAATAGTTCTTGCCTGTAACATCAGCTGCCATCAAACCTTCTGCTCTGATGACCTTTACCTGGAGAAATCCCACATCCTTTATGTTTTGAAACATCTGCATTAGGTTCTAGAAACATACACAAAATTTAGGAAATTATACTGAAGTCATAAAAAAAAGCAAAATATGAAGAGACCATTTCCTCTTAAAGGTTCTAAATAGTCCTGATGGCTTAAATCACATGCTTCTAACATATCATAACTCTGAAGCTGCACTTAGGTCTGGCTCAACACTTTATTCTGGAACTTGGCAGAAGGCTCGTGAACACAGCAGGATTAGTCTTAATTGTACATAAAAAGGAAGAATCCAAAAAGAAACATATAGATATGTTTCCACTGCAGTACACAGATGTCAAAGCTTTTATATATGTATGGATCCTGGATTGAATCTTTTCTTCCTCCAACTTTCCTGAGTCAGCAGGTATTTGGCTGATCTCTTGATAGCCTTGGAAGGCATGGAAACTATTGGTTACTGCTATACCACTTTTATTTCTTAACATTAGTAGATAAAATATTCAATTCTATCCCAAATACATAATTTAGCAAGTTTAATTTAAAAAGATATTTAGTATTTGTTCCTTATTTTAAATCATTATTTAATTGGAATAGCGTCCCAGAATTATATTAAATGATGACACCTTAATCATAAGGTATTTCTATTCCACAAACCAGAGATTTTGCAGGTTCTTGAGAAATAATTTAGAAACTGGAGTGTTTCTATGAGTTATCTGTAACAAAACTAAAATTATGCATACACAAATATTTCTGTATGACTTAGCTGTATTCCCTATAGCTTCCTCATATTATTCACAAAATAGCTATTATTTTAATTTGTTTATAAGTTTTAATTGCATAAACACAGCATGTGTTCAAATTTCCTATATTATTATGGTATAAAACTATAGTTTTATATAGTTTTATAATTACTACTATATAATCATTATTTTATACAGTATAATTAAAATATTTTATAAAAGTGTTGTTTTAAAAATAGTATTTTTTTTAAAATCAGGAAACACCAAGTAAAGGATGAATTTCTAAACATTTTGACAGGTTGAATCCCATTAAAATAGCAAACCTGGATTTTAACAAACATCAGAATTAATGCACTTTTCCATTATGATACAAAATTTAAATTCTTAATCATATTCTGTTTAACAAAAAGTTTTCTGCTTGAAAAAGTTGAAATCTTAACCATGTATTAGAGAGACCCATTTATAAATAAAAATGAGACACAAAGCCTGTAATGTACATCTCAGAAATAGACGCAATGTTCAGCGGAGGCAATGCAGTTATATAGCACATCAATATGGCACATATCTCTAGCATTCTATAATGTTGTAAGCCGCCCTGAGTCCCCTCAGGGAAAAGGGCGGCATATAAATGTCCAATAAACTAAACTAAACTAAACTAAGATCACTAATGCTATATCTCTTAACTTTTAATTTCATAATAATTGCCTATTAGAAATTCGCTTTCCCACTCTATCTTCCTTTTTTTCTTCTTGATTTGGTTTAAATCTGGTTCTTAAAGAAAGCAACAGAAAAATGCTATTTGCCATTACTTATCATTTCTCAAAAAGGTCTGGGGACTTTTTTTGTCAATCCTGGCATTTTAATAGAGATATTTTCCAGTTCAATGCTATGTTGAACAAGGGAGGCATGGTGAAATTAAAAGTATTTTTGTTGTTTTGAAATTGCATTTGTTTTGCATTTCCTGGACAAAAGTCAACCTTTTTACCTATATGCGCATTCCATTCATTTAAAAAGACCTGGCAATATTTCACCCACTATTATTTGCCAGTGGGATAATTATAGTTTGAACTTTTAGATTTTGCTAGTCAGCTGATTTAGTGCAATTTAGTGCATTTCTGACAATCTCAGCCAATGACGCACTGCAGATTATTGTAGGATTTTGTGAAAAGCAAATGACTTTAATACATTACTTTAAACATGCAACTTAAAGTAATGATTTATGAGATGATTATCGGTCGTCTTATTTATGAAGACTGTTAGAGGCCTCAAAACCCAGATGGTATTGGAGGCTTCACATTTCCATAGCACAGAAATCTATGATTTGCTGTGAATCCTTTCAGCCCTCAATAGATGGGAAAAGATTGAAATGCTCTGGAGATGAGTCCTCTTTATTTTTTTAATGAAAGGCTGTATAATATATTTTCTGTATAGCTGCAGCAGCTGTCAGCGAGAGCATCTCAGTTCAGCTCTATTATGGGAGAACCAATACCCCATCCTATGGCATCAAGATACACTGAGGGGCCAGCACTGATTGACAGCTTGTCACCATGACGTCTTATTCCATCTCTGTTATGGAGAAAATTAATGTCACACCACCAGCCTTATGACTCGCTGTCATCTTATAACTGCTCACCTTTTATCAATGCTCTAAATAACATTTCAAGCCCCATCGTCTCACGGTGGACAATCCGGTCAAGGGACATTAAATCGGATGAATGTGAAATGTCATAATAAAAATGGAATGCTAACAACTTCTTCACTAAACTAGCTTCTCTGGTTTTTAAACTGTGACAAGGGGGAGCAGGGGTTCAGCATACCCGTTCTGAAAAGGTCATAGAATCTCTCTTTTGGTCTGCTACCCATTACGGCCCTCCTCCCATCCCAAAAGGAATTAATCTTTTCATACAATTGTGATAAAATGGTTCAAACGGTAATGCCTCTTTAATTTGTAGGGCTCTGATGTTCTGCTACAAATGGTTAAATGACAGTAATAGAGTCATTTTCCAAGGCTATTTGATCTGACGGCAGGGTCAGTGCATTTACTCTTTTCAGTCTCAAAAATAGGGAAAAATACATTTTTAAATAGAAAGATCTCCTTCTCAATACTTTAAAAATAAAACTTTATAAATAATTTTAGATTAAAAAAGATCATGAATTTGTCAGTTACCCAGTAATATTTACTAAGATTTAGCAAAGGATAACACTAATATTCCTACTAAAATATGTAGGGATAAAGATTTGCTACAAAAATGTGTAGCTATTTCTATATCCCGTATACTACAATGTTGCTATTTGTCCAGGATTATTGCAGTTATGTGTGGCTCATGTTGATGAACCAAGTTATCCAGCTTGTAAGTAACAACACTCTAATTTCTGAAATAAACATACTGAAAATCAGATTTTCAATGTCATATTTTTTTAACAATGTTGCTATTCTCTATTAAAATTTACTGGTTATTTATTTATTATTAAAAGATAATCAGAACAATGAACATCCTTTGCTTTGTATTTTTCTGGTATACAGGAGAACAAAATGCATATTTCACTAAAATTAGTATCTGAGAAATCCATTTATCTCCCAAGATACAGTCTGACAGATCAACTTGCCTTAGTTCAAAAAAATGTGAAATAATATTGGTAATCACTAGTTTTCAGATGATTTAGTACATTTCTTGGTTCTTACTTGATTTTAAAAATGTAATGGTTAGCCTTGCTAAGTCACCTCTATTAAATTGTGTTTATGATAATACTATTGGCGAATGATGTATATAAGTACTTGCAGGCAGCTGATTCAGTGGAGATAGGTAGAATAAATTTGCTGAAGCACACATCCTGCTAATCTGTTTGAAGAATATTGTACAGCAATAGTACTAGCACTTCATATTATCTGCACAGCCTGATAAGGTACATCTTTATTAAATTTACTTATTGAGAGGATGTCAACCAAAGAATAAGAATATTTTAAAACAAAAAAAACATTAAACAGCCCTCTGTTAGTCAGAGTTTAGCTTAATGCACAGAGTCTAGAGATAACTTCTAAACATCTGGCAGACCTATACAATAAAAGCTTTGTAATTTTAGGGGAGATAGCTTTTCTTCTTTCTTCTTTGTGTTTAGTAAGTCAGTTTTAGTTAATCCAATATTAATAAAAGTTGAGTAAGAGCTCCCCTTGCTGTTCCTTTACTAAAACTACACAATTGCTTCTATGATATAAGACAGAATATTTTTCAAAATGTTCAATCCAGAAATTAAACATTTAGTATCCTTATTATTTTATGTTAGATTTCTAACCTACTCAAAACATCTAATAGAAGAAATCCGTGAAGAGAGGGCTTTGTTTTAAATAACGCAAAGTTGATCAATTATTCAGCTACTTAAGGACATTACTTATTGGAAAAGTCAATAAGGAAATGTCTTAATTATAACAAGAAGTTAACTTTTCAGTGAAAAAATAATATCAAGTAAAGCTACATTTATACATATACATATATACATACATACACGTATGTATGTACATATGTACATATTAGGTACGTATATACGTACATTATTACTGTTGGCTACTGGGTGCGGGATGGCATCATATAAACAAAGTAAGTAAGCAAGTACTGTGTTTCCCCAAAAATAAGACAGGGTCTAATTTTCTTTCGACCCCCAAAATTTTGCTTGGGCCTTATTATTGGCAGGGGGCTTATTGGTTTGGGGTTGCCAGGTGGCTGCTCTCTTGCGAGCGGGCGCCCAAAGAGCCGGGCATAGCCTCATGGGCAAACAACTGTGTTGCAGCGCAACAAAGTAGCCATGAGGTGACCACGCTCATGAGCAGCTGCCTGGAAATGCCCCTTTCCAGCCAGGCAGAGCGCCAGTCAATTACCCAGTAATATCCCAAAGGCGCTAAGCCGCATGGCGCTCTGCCCGGCTGGAAAGAGAAGTTGCGCGAGCACTTGTTCTGCCTCCATCTCACGTGCCCCCCTGACTCACTATGCCCAACTCTCCCTGCAGGGCTGGGCCAGGGCACTGCCGCTGAAGCCCCGCTGCTGCCACCGCCCCGCTGCCGCCATCGCGGCACCAGAAGGGCGGCAGCGGTGCCCTGGCCCAGCCCTGCAGGGAGAGTTGGGCATGGTGAGGCAGGGAGTCATGCGAGCTGGAGGCAGAACAAGTGCTCGCCAAACCTCTCTTTCCAACTGGGCAGAGCGCTATGCGGCTTAGCGCCTTTGGGATATTACTGGGTCGGTGAGTGGCGCTCTGCCCGGCTGGAAAGGGGCATTGCCGGGCGGCTGCTCATGGGAGCAACTGCCCGGCAACCCCCTGCTCCAGCTGGGCATAGCGCCACCCACCAACCTATCAGTATCCCAAAGGCATCAAGCAATGTAAGCCCCTTTGCCCCCCTGCTCCCAGCTTCTGTGGCTTTACGCCTTCGGGATATCGCTAGGTTCGTGAGTGGCGTTCTGCCTGGCTGGAAGGGGGGGTTGTCAAGGGGGCTTAATATTGGGGTAGGGCATATATTTTTGCCCACAGGAAAAATAAGGCATAGTCTTATTATCAGGACATGTAATTTCCGGGAAACACGGTAAGTAAGTTTTCCTTTTACATTTCATCATTTATCACTATAATCTTATGCAAAAAATAGTAAGAAAAGATGCTGCATACATATCTTTTTAGGATTTCTTTCTGTTCCTTTGGATCTTCTAAGACATTCATTGAGAAGTCAGAGATGGTGACCGCAGCTGAAGCAGTCAATGTAACCAGCAATATCAGATGCCCTTCACCTTCTTCCAGAGGCAGCTCTAGCTTATGAGTATGCTCTTTGCTTAGAGTTGACAGGTCAATTTGGCACCTAGAAACAAGCATTTTCTTTAGCATGTTGTACAACAGTGCTGTGAAATACTGTGAACTCAGTTACCCAAAATGAACCATATTATATTTACTTCTTGTTTTCAGGACAAAGTCTTCAAATTTATGAACTTTATCATTCAGCAAAACAGGTACTTTACAGAAGCCTATTTCTGCCTATGAAGTTTAAATGCTAGAAAACAGAGTACTAGAAATGAAATGTTCCTTTAACTTCCTTGTATAACTTTTAAAAATTCATAACAGGAAATCCAATATATTGGATGTTGACCAAACTCCTTTTGTTGACTGAAAATGAAGTACCGCTCTTCACTACCGCCTATGATCACATACTCTAAAATTACTCTAGATAGTGGGGAGGAGGGAAATTCTGATTTGGGAAGGAAACAGGGAGATTGAAATTCTTATTGGTCAGATTTCAATATATGTAATGTTAGCATTTAACCAGAGATGTAACTGAAATCTATCTAACTTTGGTTTAAAGTGCAACCTATGTTTGGCTACAGGCTCAACATTTTTTTTCTATAATATAATCACAATTTATAATGATATCCCTCCACCTATGGAGATGGATCATTCCAGCCATAAGAAGAAGTGGGGAAAGAGAGAAGAGTTTTAGAAGTATTTTCCAACCAGCACATAGTAAGTCAAAAGGAAAAGGATACACAGATTTTGTGTTTCAGAAATCAGTATCATATGAGCATCATAATCTGGATATGGAGCTGGGTATAGAATAAAATCTATCTTTGCACATTATTTACAATTCTTGTGGCAAATTCCTTGCGGATAACGAACTGTTAATAGGCAAAACCCTAATCTAAACATGCAACATAGATAACAAAGTCAAGCAAAGCCGTTGAGGTATTAAGCTGATTCAAGCCAAAGAGTTCAAAAGATGAGGTGAAAGACACTTCTAATAAATATTTGATCAAATGTCTTGAGTATGTTTTTCATAGTTTCTTCTGAATGCAGACATAACAGGGAGTTTTGTTGTGCTAAGTTCCCTTAAGCACATACATGCCTATGAGTTTCACATATGAAGCAGGATGCTGAACAGGAAGAAGTCATCATAGATAGAATGAAACATCTTCCTCTTCTTTTTCACTGTGCTCTAAAGTGGGTAAATGTCAGGGTTCCAAATAGCATCCAACAAGTCACCAGAACATCTACGGGATCTCAGTATCATGTGAACAGCAGACATGTAACATTTAGAACAAAATCAAATCCCAAACATGTCAATGAAAGGTTTGTCATCCTAAAAGAAAATCAAATCAGAAGCACACTTCAAACACTTAATTCCAGATGCCCAGAAATGAAGTTTACTAAGAAGACTAAGAAAAGAAATTTCCATTCCTTAACATCCTTGTCACCAACAGAACAGAAAAACAACAAACCTTGAATGTGTTGAATTTTCTGCAGTAACCACCCCACAAAATCAACTTACAAAATAAGTTATGGAAGTACTGTAACTACCTAATTCAAGAAGAACTACCACCTCCAATTTAATTTTAAAAGTTATCTAGGAATTAAAAACAACAACAGATAGACTTCAAGAACTACATCTATCTGAGGAGTACTGGTGGCATAAAAGTTAGAAGCAGTATTATAAGAAAACTGCCCACAGCCTGGAGTTTGATCCTGATGGGGTTCAAGTTTGACTCACCCTTCCAAAGCCAGTAAAATGAGGACCCACATTGTTGGGGAAAATATGCTGACATTGTAAATTGCCCAGAGAGTGCTATAAAGCACTGTGGGGCAGTATGTAAGTCTAAGTTATGCTATCTTGTTATTGCTATCTATTTATTTAAAACCTGTAGCTGCCCTTATTAAATCAAAAGATCATATTCCAGCTTCTGATGTTGACATTCTGCCTTACATATGTAACATATATGATGCTAGACAGATAGAAAGCGTTGCATAGTCAATAACTGAGTTAATTATCAAATACTACCAATATAACCCTAATCTTGCACCATAAATCTTTTGAAATATAATTTTGAAAAGGGATGGTTTTTAGCTGATATGATCTGCCATCAATACATTAAAAACATTTCCATAAAAAATTAGGTGATTTCTAAATGTTATTTCTTTTTTTTAATTCAAAAAATTTACTTCAAGCTATTCAAAATTATATGTTCTCTTCTTCAAAGCTCATTGTCATACTATAAGTCATTTGTAAACAAACCTGCCAATAAAATCATCCTTTTTGCCCGCATCTCTGTCCCATACTGTAATATCAATAATTCCTCCTCGTTCTTCATAAAGATGCAAGTCAAATTGTTCCCTCCACCTGGGATTCAAAGTTTTTGACATTATCTAGATAAAAAAATTAAAAAATATTTCTGTTATGATGTTATGATAAGAATAACAAAACAGAATTTTGATTATTTTAATAGTTTTATATTTAAATATTATTCATCTTCTGGATAGCAGTAAATATAACATTTGGTCACATTTATTAAAATGTTCACTGAGAAACATGTTAACGTTTTCTCAAAAAACACAAAAAGTATGAAAATTATAAGAAGATATTATTTATTACTTTAGCACATTTTTCTTTTACATCACAAAAGAACTGATATGAGTTTCTAGTTTCTCCTTCAAATAGATTAATTTTTTTCTTGCTTAGAGACAGAGAGGTGAAATAGATTTTACATCTTTTTCAATATGAAATTTATGAAAAAATATTTTTTCTCAGTTCTTTTCTTTCCTTTAAAAAAAACTATAATAAAAAGAACTGAATTAGTAAAAACAAACATTTCATAAAAATAAAATAGAATATCCCTCATTCAATTCTTTAAAGCTACATAAAAGGTATCATTTAATTTAGTAAGAGTTTTTATTCCTGACCAAAACAGTATCTGAGACAGGAGCACAGTTCACTACCACCCTGGTCACATGACCACATTTTGAAACATTGTCAACCTGTTTGCATTAATGATCAGTGCCAAGAGCTCTGCAATTACATGATCACAATTTGCCATTTTCTCTGCTGTCTTCCCCAGAAAGTTAATGGGGAAGACAGCGGAGGATGTTGACAGTAGAGGGGTATGTTAGATTTGAGGTCCATTACCCTACATGCCAAGGAATTTTCCCTCTCCTCTGGGCAGGCAAGTGAAATCCTCCTACATGCTGGAGGAACAAATCTCAAATCTTGGGAAAATGTTAGTGGTGGCCAGCATTCCAAGTCTTCCAGAACACTGACATTTGATAGTGTTTTCACCAGATTTGAGATCTGCTTCTCTACGGCACTAAGGGATTTCCAAATCTAGCAAAAAAGCTTGCAAATACCATCATTCTCACAGTTGTTTTTCCTGGTAGGTGGGGATCATTCTTCACAAGTTTTTTTCCAAACTTTACATTACTTTTGGTGTTGTCCTTTGCACTTTTTCCGTTTCTTCAGCATCCTTCTTCTACTTCTTGTTGCAGAACATCTGTCTATATTTTGTGGAATAGCTTAATGCTCAAGTATCTGATTAAGCCCAGGTCTAAAATCATATGATTGTATTCAGAGGTTTGATTTAGTAAGTCACTAGCTTTAAATCTAGAGTTCCAAACATTGCATTGTACTATTGCAATTTTTTAATATTGTATAATAACATAACAATCAAGTCCTGCAAATACAAATAGAACAACTGTGGCAAAAAAGTAAAGGTAGTACCAATACCAATAATTGCCTTGGGTGCAATTCCAAAACAACTGGATACGATCGACATTGTCAAAATCACTACCAGTCAATTGCAAAAGGTGGCTTTACTCAGAACAGCTTACATATTATAACAATATCTGTAACACCATCAAATATCCACGTCTGCCTATCCCAGGCCCTTTAGGAAGGACACAATAGGTGGATAAAAATGCCAAATCCAGTCTGAACATCTGGCTGACCATGCGATGAACCATAATAATCAAATAATGATTTCAACCAAAAAAATGCTGAAGTTACATTAAAAATTATACTAGAGTCTTTAAAAAATAGTTTAATAAAATCAAAAGTTACCTTACTCTTGTACTTCTGATGTCCCAGCCGAAATTTCACATAGGGATCACTCAGCCCATTTGAGTCCATGGCTTTGAGTCCACGACCTTCAATTAAAGTGATACTGACTATTCCTCTCCATAGCTGAGCTTTTTTGTGAAAGTCCGATAGACGTATACTCTGGGTCTGAAACTTCAGGTGCAGAGAGGACTCTCATTTATTAACTTTGTATTTTGTTTTCAGAACAGAATTATTATTTTAAGAAAATATTTAAGAAAGGTTTCTTAATGTTTAGAAAACTTATTTATGAACGGTTATTGATGAAAACAAGATTTTAGAATAGCAAGAAACAACTATATCTTAGACTTTAGTATTATTCCACTTTTGGGGGAAAATGGAAAAAATGGAATGGTGATTATATATACAGGTAAGTCTTTGATTAACGGGCAATTTGTTCTATGGCAAACAAAGATTTATTTGAAAGTTTTTAGATGATGTTTGCAGCTAACAGCTATAATGTACTTGATTTTTAGTAATCTCTCAACTTTTCAAATACACTAAATTCAATAAATTTACCTCTACTTTTGTTATCTTTCCAATAATGAAGAATAATTGATAATACTGCATTGCTTGCAATGACTCCTAAGTCTTATTGTCACTATAATTTATATCCAACAGTTACTCAAAGCATGTCAAGATTTAAGAAAAACTACAAAGCACTTTTAAAGCTAGGAAACAAAACAAAACAAAAAAAGAAAATACCAAGTTTCTTTCTTAAAACAATTGCAAGCAAGGAGTGAGTTGAATTTAAAAGCTACTTTGATACTATAAAGTTTGAAAGAAAAATAAGACATATGTAATAAAATAGATGTTACGTAAAATAGTGGTTTGTACATATCTGGGGAAATATTCTGGGCATACATTGAAAATTAAAATAAAACCTTTTAAACAACATTTTCATTTAACTGGCTGAAAATAATGTTTATAAATTAGCATCAGCATTTAACCTTAGGAGCATGGCAACTATCCACAAGAAGATTCCACAACAAAGAATTCAGAACAAAATATACATAATATCTGACAGAAAGCAATGCCTTAAATCTTGATTGTGTGAATAGAACATATTCGATATTCATAAATAAGGATTACCCAAATCCTCACTGTCTCCTCTGGCTCTTGAAATTTTATTCCTATTATTTCCTATGCTATATAAGGAAAAGTATAACATATTCCTATATTATATAAGAAAAAGTATAAAGTATAAACAACACATTAGGTAAATAGAGGTCCATTTTACAATCAATTATTTGTATTGCTTTCTTCTCATCCATTTGGGAAACCATATTTGTTAATTATCGACTTCTTGTTACATTTTCTAACTTGATAATTATTTCTTCATTCCAGTGCACTAATACAAATATATCTTAAGATTTATTTTCTCATCTTCCTTTATCTAAATAAGCATTAGTTCAAAATATTTTGTGACACAATACAATACTACAACAAGCTCAATTCCTCCATGTCCTTTACAATCAGTTAACTATTCTTCCGAACTAATATTTACTAATATTATTTTGAAGAAGTTTTATATTTGAGAAATCATGGATGGGTGAATAAAAGAACAGCTGATCTATAACCTTGAAAAAGGTCAATGTTATCCTACTTTTAAAAAAGTAACAAAAGGAACATCTAATAACTACAGGACAATCAGTCTGCTGTCAGTACCGGGAAAGATTCTAGATAAAACAATACAGCAATTGCTAGAAATCAGCACACAGTACCTCAAGATCAAGTCTTCCCATACTGATTTTATCTCATTTTTAAAATTGGTTAATTATAAATTGTGAGAATGTCCTAAGTATAATATATTTTGAATTCAGCAAGTATTTCACAGAATATCCCACAAGCTAGTTAAATGAGGGCTAGCATAACAATCAAGGATGGTATAAATCTAGGTAGATGGTATAAAAATGTCCCTATGGAGTGGTCATCAGAGATTTCTTGTTAAACTGGAGTCTAGTCATTAATCCTGGAATTTTGAGGAAGTTCCCTCATTTAAATATTAACAAAGCCAATAATGTTTCATATCCACTAAAATCATGGTGAAACTGGGATAGAGGTGGGTGCATCCATCCTGGTGCTCCTTGATTTCTCAAACAGTTTTTGATACTATTTGACTCTGATTCTTGGGACTAGGAGTCACTGTGTAGCAGTGATTAACCTCCTTCCTCAAGGGGCAGTTTCAATCAGTGTTAATGTGGAGAGATCATGTCTGCACCTCCTCACTTATGTTGTTTGTGGGTTTGATGCTCTCCCCTCTCTTATGTAACATCTACATGAAACTGCTGGGTGAAATCATCCATTGGTTAAGGCTTAGGTATCATCAGTATGCTGGCAAAATCCAGATTTATATCTCAAACTCAAGCTGCACAGGTGAAATTGTTGATGAGGAGTCCTCGGTGCTCTCTGAGCTTATTTGTTTTCTTGCAAATTTTTCATTACTCAAACTAGGTAACATCACCATCATAAGCACTGATGTTACATAGTTACATAGCACCAAGGACCTCTCATTTCAACCCTAAGCTACAAATTTTCTCCTTTATTGAGGTTATTGAGTGTCTGAAGGCTGTTCACGTTTTGATAGTGTAGAACATACTTTGCTCAGTCCTGATAAGAGTGACTAGCTCTAGTTGTTTCACCTTCCAAAATGGGGCATGTTACCGTTGTTGATTTAGGATGCGGCAGGATGGGGCATGTGAAACTATTGTGTAACTTGGAGTTCTAGACTTGCAGCTATTGTTCAAAGAACAAGTATTACCTTCAGCCCAGAAGTGTAACTGCCCCCTCCCTCTGGAACAGCATCCTTCTAGAGATAAGGACTATGCCTTCTTTCCTGGGGCTCCAGAAAGCTGTTAAAATCTAGAATTGTTTCCAGGCCTGGGATTAATGTATTTTGGGGGCTCCTGTTGTTACTTTATGTTGCTGTTGTAACTGTATACTCTGGGCTATCTGTGTGGTTTTATGTTTTTTGTTTTTTTAATTTTCTGATTTTGTACACTATGCAGAGTCTTTTTGTGTAGGCACCCATAAACAATTGAAATAAATAAAAATAATCAGGTAGATGCTAAAATTCTAGTCTAACACTGAATATTGAATTAAATATTGGAAAAAAGAGTAGGTTGAGAGTAAATCCAGAACACAAGAAAAATGGCATCTACACAGACCTGAAACAAAAGAAAACAAATTTTGAAAAGACACACTTTTGTGAAAAAGTGACTTTTTGGCAAAACAAAACGCAGTTCAAAATAAATCCTCTGAGATGTTGGAGCCGATATTTGTGAAGTTCAAATGCATTAATATTTAGCTGCCATACATTATTTTTTTCAGGTTATCTCCGTATAACAACTACTCTACCAAGTCTTATTATGTGCTCAAAAAATACAAGTATATGATGACATCCTAATGAATTCCTAAATTGATAATGCTGCATAACTGTCAAGAAAACATTTTATACTCTTCACATGGAAGTATAACTTTAGTAATATTATAAAGAGCCCATACTATTCACAAGTCAATGCAAAAGCAGAAAACACTGTTCAAACTTCAAACTGAAATTGAGAACAGGAAAATTCCTTCTTAGATATATTAAATCACACAGCAACTCCTACTCATGTCCTAAGTATAACCCAGCACAATTATTCGTGGATAATTGCCAGTAGCTAAGAATCTCTTTTCTAATATTGAAAACAAACATGTATTTTATTGGTCTTATTTCAAGAAAAGCATTGTATCAGAGCAAAAAAAACCAAACCACTCTACAAATTCAATAATGACAACAATTACTGGGTGGTCAGAATTGGATCCCAAATAAAAATTGAATAATCAGAAGGAGTGGTAAGAAACAGCAAATATCTAGGAACAATCGTCAGACACCTCATCCTACCTTCTAACACTATTAAGAGAACAATACAACGTTTCTATACTAGAAAAGCAAAAGCTATATTATTCATAGGAACATACAAAAACAGAATCAAGTGACATAAGATTGCTAACAGACAAGAACTCCAACATAAACTTGTACCAAATAATAATAAACAACCACCAGTTTTAGATTCTTGTTCCTTATTTTTAGCATGGAATTTATGATTTCCAAAAGCAAAATGTTCTAGAACAGTGATGGTGAACCTTTTTCTTAGGGTGTACCGAAACTGCACACACACATGTGCCCACTCAATCTCCCCCACACACACACATACGCGCAACGACCCCTCCCCAGGTTCTGGAGGCTTTCCTGAAGCCTGGGGAGGACGAAAACAACTTTCCACGGCCCCCCAGAGGTCCTTCGGAAACCGGAAATGAATCATATCTAAACTTCTGGTTGGCCCATTGGACCATTTTTTGCCCTCCCCAGGCTTCAGAAAAGCCTCCAGAGCCTGGAGAGGGCAAAAAACAGCCTCAGTGGACCAACCGGATGTTCGGAAACAATCCATTTCTGGCTTTCAGGGGACCTCGGGGGGGCCAGGGGAGACCATTTTCACCCTCCCTAGGCTTCAGCAAAACCTCTGGAGACTTGGAAAAGTGAAAAATGGCACCAACGACCCAACCAGAAGTTCAGGAACAAACTTCCAGTTGGCCCGTTGGGACTGTTTTTAGCCCTCCCCAGCCTCTAGAGGCTTTCCTAAAGCTTGGGGAGGGCGAAAATGGCCTCCCCTGGTTCTCCGGAAGGGTGAAAAACACATGCATGGCGGAGCTGACAGCTGGCATGCCACCAAATATGGCTCTGCGTACCACCTGTGGGACATGAGCCATAGGTTTCCCATCACGGTTCTAGAACGTAACCTCATGTATCTATATAGTTCAAAAATAGCAATTATTGTCTATCTTAACTACACTTATTATTGTCTGTCTTAACTACACTTATATGCATTCAAATATTCTAATGCATTTATTTATTTATTTATTTTTCTGCCTTTATTATTTTTCTAAGTTATCTTTTCCTCCTCTTACTTTCCTCACAACAGCAATCCTGTGAGGTGTGTTGGGCCAAGAAAGAGTGACTGGCCCAAAGTCATTGATCTGGCTTTCATCCTAAAATTCAGAGTCATCTGTTTTCTAGTCTGGTTTTTAGCCTTAACTACTGAACCAACTTAGTTCTATAGAGCTATTAGAAAGGATCATTCCATTGTCATGTTTATACAACAGAGAATAAAATAATAAGCTACATGTCACAACCTGAAGTTTAACATGATAAATTATAAAATATCAGTTATTTCAAGGCTACATGCCAAGAATTACCTTACTTGTTCTTTTCCAACTCTTCCTCATTAGCATTGTCTGCAAATAAAATAGAACATTTTAATCACCTTTTACTTGTTCATATAGAAAGGCCAACTGCCTTCTAAATGAGTAATGCACATGACAAAACATCAAATTTTAAACAATTAAGGACAGAAATCAAACAGCCACAAACATTCACATTGAAACACAATTACGATTTAAGCTCCTATTATTTAATGAAGAATAGAAATTGCATATGATAACCTGAAGATGTAGTGAAGATCTCAAAAAGAACAAGAAATGAAAATTATCTGGAAGTAGGAGCATCCTAGTTCATGCTACTCTTTCACAGAACACAAGATATATAGAAATTGAAGACCTCACTCAGCAATATGACCGAGGAACCTCTAATATAACAAGTACTTATGATAGGCATCCACATACAAGGAAAGATCAATTTTGAACAAGTATGAGTTATGATGGCACAGTGATTAGAAAGCAGTATTGCAGGCTAACTTTGTTCACATTGCCAGGAGTTCAATTCCCTCAATCCTGACCAACTCAAGGTTGACTCAGACTTCTATCATTCCAAGGTCAGTAAAATGAGGACCCAGATTGATGGGCAATATGCTGACTCTGTAAACCACTTAAAGATTGCTGTAAAACACTTTGAAGCAGTATATAAGTCTAAGTATTATTGCTATTTGTTTATTAAGTAATCAGAGTGTTTACTTGAATTTGATTATTTAAAAAACAATTTTAAAAAATTCAGGCACTATTGTCTTATGCTTAATTTTTTTTAAAGGATTTTTTTAAAAAAAAATGCCTTAGCACTAATTTAATAGTCAAGCCTGAAAGGCTTCATGGACAAAGCTGTCTTTTGACATGCATTTACAATAAGAAAATTTCAGTGGAGGCATAAAAACCGGAGACTTGGTATCATCTTTTTTTGTGAATGTAACAAACCACCCTGGCATTGCTTTTCAAAGGTCCAAAGTACTAAGAGTTTCACTTTGATGATATGCTGCTATGCACCTTATCAACTAGGTTCCCCAAGTAGTATCCCAAAATGTAGAGCAGTTGGAAGGTTGTTGAAGAGCATCTGAAGATAGAAGATTGATTCCCTGATAGTAGAGAATGATCTCAGCCAAAGCTATACACATAGTGGAGTTCAGATGTGAAAAACTGCACTGAAAAACATCCCAAGTTCAAAGAGATATATAAAAGTGATACTACAGGAGTCTCTTGATTTAGGGAGTTTTTCTTTATAAATAATAACTGTAGTTAAGATTATAGTCATGACACCTGCATGAAGAACAAGTATAAATCAGAGCTGATATCTGAACCTACATTTTTTTAGTAATACAGTATAAAGGGTTACTCCAGTGAGCCAGTGTGCATTAATCAAGACCAATAAAGGCTTGATGTGTAGGACAATGTTCAGCCCTGGGAGAAAGCCACACTTAACAATAGGTCAGGGAACCAAGAGAAACTAGGGACTGCCATTTGCCAAAAGCAGGATCAACATAATGAAATTTCCTTTTATCACTAAAATCCTGACATGGAGGAAAAGAGCTTTGTTTCTGGTATAGAGAAAAAGATCTTGGTGTACTTCAATTACTGATTTCTTCCTTTAAAACTGAGACCCAAATCTGAATGGAAAACAGAATTGAAGGCAGGATTGAAGATTGACGAAACCGGCAGGGTAAAAGATCCATAAATACAGGGCTCCGTACTTGCAGTAGAGGTCCTTTTGTTTTCTTATTTACTGTATTTTTTGGAGTATAAGATGCACCTTCTTTCCTCAAAAAAGAGGCTGAATAGCTGGGTGCGTCTTATACATCAAATACAGCATTTTTTGCCTCCCGAAGCCCCGCCCCTTCACCAAAATGGCCGTGCATAGCCTTAAGGAGGCTTTCAGAGAGCTCCTGGGGGCTGGGGAGGGCAGAAATGAGCAAAAATACATCCGGGCAATCAGGACGTAGAAAAGAACTTACATTGCCACTCTGATTGCTTCCGCTGAGTCGCGCCCAGCCGCCCTGTTCAGGATAACCCGTTCCCTCCTAAATAGGAGGGATACGGGTGATCCTTTGCAGGGCAGGGCTGAGGATTACGTCCAGTTTCTCGCGGACAAAGTTGCTCGGTTTCGGGCGGACCTGGACTCCAATCCTGCAGAACCAGCCGAGGCACTAAGGGATAATCTGGTAGGCCATCGCTGGATTGAGTTTCAGGCTGTTACCCCTGAGGACGTGGATAAGGCCATGAGAGCTGTAGGTGCCTCCACATGTGTGCTGGACCCGTGCCCCTCCTG